AAGAAAGAGAACATAAAAAAAAATAATGATAACGAAGTCGAACATCCCTAAACGATTCAATGTTAAAATTTTTCTTTATATAATTTTTTTTTGTTTTATTACAACTGCGTAGATGTATATTTGTCATATTTCATCTATTTTTTTTTATCTCTATAGATTGATAATTGGAAGCGAATGTCCTTCGGTAATCTTAGTCAATTGTATAAATAAACAAAAAAAAAGAGAAGAAAAAAAGGCATGCTGAGAAAAGAAAACAAGAAAAACTAAATGAATAATCAACGTTTTATATATGTATATACATATATATATTATTTAATTTTACCTCATTTCCTCCACTTGCTCTTCTTGCTTTTTCTTTTTTTTCTTCAATAACTCGTTGTAAACGTTCAGTTTCAATATCATGTTCAGCAATTAATGATGGTGTTGATGGTGCACCAATTTTATTATTTGACAAAGGCACATTCGATGTTGTTTCAATAATATTTGTTGTTGGTTGTGGAATTGTTCCTGATGATGATGTTGATGCTGATGGTGTTTCAGTAATTGTTGGTTGACTTTTAATTTGTTGTTCAGCTGCTTTTATATCTTCAACAGTAACACTTTGCGTTGATCGTCGTTCTCGTCGTGCTTGAGCTGAACGATGTTTACGTTGTGCTTCAGCTTCTTCATCACGACTCGGTGGAACATTTGAACGTCGTTTTCCACCAGTTGAATCATCCAGTGTTGGTATTGGTGTTGGTGATGTTACTGTTACATTTGTTGTTGGTGTTGATTGTGCTGATTGAAGAGATGTTGTTACACTAACATGTGTTGATGGTGGTGCTACTACTTGTGTTGGGTCAGGAACACCAGCACCTGATCGACGACGAACATATGGACCTGCATTATTTGTTGTTAATAATGAACCATCACCCACTGTTCGTTCAGTTGTACCCCATCTAAATTATTTTTTATTTTATTTTGAAAAGAAAATATCAAGAAAATTTTCATAAGGTAAAAGCATGCATTAAAAGAAAAATTGTTGGTTCGTTATTTTTGTTTTTTTTTGTAAGTTTTCTAAATAAAAATTTGTTCTCTTTAGGTCTAGTCTGTGCAAAAGAAAAATGATGAGGTTTGTGCGTATTATAATTGTGAAAGATTTGGTTAGATAATGTGTTGATTGGTTAGAGGTTTACGAGAGAAGAAATTATAAAAAAGAAAAAGAATACCTTCTCGGTGGCACCTCTGGCTGTGTCTCACTAAAACTAGAATAATAAAATAACATCATCCAAAACAAAAACTAACTCATATATTAAATAAAACCGAATGGAATTTATTTTATTATATATTTAAATAAATAAATAAATCTAAAAATTACCTTCGATTCATTTTCGAATCCGATGATGGAGTAGGAGATGAAGCAACATTTGTTGTTGATGGTGGTGGTGGTGGTGTTGGTGTTGGTGTTGGATGCTCCTATATTAAAGAAAAGAAACTTTTTTTTAATTTAAATAGCTTTATTTATTTTATTTTATTTAAAGATGTTTATCTACATGCATTGTTAAATTGTCATGCAAAATATTAAAATATTCTTTTTTTTTCTAAAATTCATTTGTTGTATATCTTACACGACTGGATAAATCATTATTATTAGTATTATTATTATTATTATTATTATTATTATTATTATTTGTTGTTGTTAATGATTGAAGTGGATTTGTAAATGTTCGTTGTGAATTTGGTAATGAATATTTATTTGTTGATAAAAATGTTGGTCGAGTTGTTGTTGTTGTTGTTGGTAAATTAGATACTGTTTTATCAAAAGTTTGTTTTGTTCGTTGATCATATGAAGATATATTAGATTTATTATTAAGATCATTACTTGTTGTTGATGTATTTGGTTGCTATGAGAATAAATAAAATAAAAGCTTTAACATGCACAAACAAAATAAATGCATTCATTTACATTCAAATATATTTTCTTTATAAATAAATCAAAAAAAAGAAAAGTCATTTCTAAATAGCTTACCTCATCTTGAGTTGTTTTTAAATATCGATTACTTAAATCATGTAATGATCGTTGAAGATTACTTAATTTTTCCTAAATAAATCAAAAAGAAATTTTTTTCTTTTTATTTAATAATTAAAAAAAAAATCCAAATCGAACCTTTATACTAGGTGAACAATTGGATAAATTCTCATCTACAGATGCAGGATTTACTGGTAATGGTATGGGAGATGAGGGTAAACAAGGCTAAATAACAATCACAAGCGCATGCATTTCATTTTAAAAAAAAAAGTTTTATTAAAATAATACCTGAGGAGATTTATTTGGTGTTGCTAAAAAAGAAATTAAATAAAAATAAAAAAAATACTAAAAACAAAACAAACAAACAAACCTAAATTCTCATTATGTGATTCAGATCGAAGAATTGATTTTTGTTCATCTGGTGGTCGAGAAGGTACAGGTCTTAAATAAATTTTATTATTTAAAATTTAATTTATTTATTTTTTTTAAATATACTTTCTCTTCCATGGTAAAAATACATTATCTGGCGTTTCATTAGCTTGTGTCTAAGAAAAAAAAAATTCATTTGATATTTCCAAAAAAAAAGATCCGTTTTGAAAATATTTTACTTTTGCAGGAGTTTGTTTTTCTTTTAATTCTTTTAATAATTCATATGTAACACCATCACAAACATCAAGTGGTGTTTGACCCTAAATTTAAATATATAAAAAAAATCAAAATTTTCTATAAAAACAAAAACAAAAATTTACTGCATAATTTTTTGCATTTAAATCTGCATTTCGTTCAAGAAGAAATTTAATAACATCATGTTTATCCCAATGTGCAGCTGCATGTAATGGTGTCCAACCATCATTATCAACTGAATTAATATTTGCACCAGCACGTATCAATATACTAAAATAGAAATTTTATTATAAAAATCATATATATATATATAAATAGACATACTCAATAACATCTAAATATCCTTTAGCACAAGCAACATGTAAAGCAGTAGCACCAGTTCTTCCATGTACAATTGTTTCAGCTAAAGATTTATTATTTGATTTTTGATTATTATTTAACCAATCTTGTGCATGTTTAAGCATTAATTGATGTTCAATATTTCTTGCTTGTTCATCATCAATACCTTTTCTTCTCATATCGTCTTCCAAACAAGCAATTATATCATCACCTTCAGCTATATCAATTGGTAATTCACCTTCATTATTACAAACATCAACAATAGCACCACGAGATAATAAATATCTATAAAAAGAAAAAAACGAAAATTTAATTTTTAAAAATAAAAAAAAATTTGTTGTACTTGACAATATCAATATTTCCACAAGATGCAGCAGCATGTAATGGTGTCCATCCTTCATTGTCTTGACAATTAATATCAGCAGAACGATTGAGCAAATATTCAACCATGAGCAAATTATTGTCAATACATGCTTGATGAAGTGCTGTAAGTCCATCGATATTTGATGTATTTATATCAACACCACGTTGTAATAATTTTTCAACTTCATCACGATCAGATGATGAACATGCAGCTAAAAAAACATATGCTTGTTGAAATTTGACACGTTGAGATATTTTAACATTTGCTGATTCTCGATTTGTTTCTGATTCATCCCAACGACGTAATTGTTCACGACGTTTAGCTATTGCACTCGATTGACGATTTACTTCGTCTGATAATGGATTTATTCCACTTAACATTTAATCGAGTTTATTATTCACATTGGATGGACAAATACATATATATCTTCTATAAACAAGAATAAAAGACTAAATAAACAACATCAGAACAAAACAACAAGTTACGGCCATACTACTAATATTATCAACAAGGTCAATTTATTTAGACAATTTATTTATTAACAATTATTATTCACTTTTTTTTTATTCTTTCATTTTAAACAATAACAATTTTTCGTTGAATTATATTTATTTTTTGATTATTTTTCATTTTATATACAATTGATGTCGCTAGTTTACAATAATATTTATATATATTTTTAGCTAAATCAATTCAAAATTGTTCGAAAAAAGAATCATTTTATATTATATAATGTGTTTTATTGAAAATAATGAAAATTATTTTCTTTTTTTTTTTCTTTCATCGAATTCTTATTTAGTTTTATCTAATTCCATCAATTAAAATTAAATTATAATCAAATTTGAAACTTTGTTCTTTTTTTCTTTTTCATTTCAACTATCAATAAAAAAGTAAACAACTATAAAAATTAACAAATAGGATCTTTTATGTTTTTTAAGTTTTGTATTTGTTAATATTCTAGATATTCTTATCTAGATTGATTTTTGTTTCTATAATTAGCATGACATAGTTTGTTCGTTCGTTATCCACATATCATTATTGCCTTCTGTTTATGTATAAACATCAAGAACAAGAATAAGCAAGACAAACAGAAAAAAGAAAAAAAAAGCAAATTCCACCATAATGTCCTTGTTTCTAGTGCGTATGTTGTCATATTCTTGGTATCTATTGCATCGTCTTGGAAAAATTATCTTATACGACTAGTGAAGATATTATTCTATATGTAAAACAACAAAATATCCTAATCATAGTACAAAAATAAGTACACAAATCACTATAACAAAGACTTTTTAATAGTTTAACGATATTCTAATTAATAGAAACTGTTTAATATATAATCATAATCAAATGAATAGTAAAAAGCATCTTAGACTTACATAAAATAAAAAGAGAAAAATCATTAAATGTATTATTAAATAAAATAGTTTATGACCGATAAAAAATCGAATATGTCTACATAAAACTTAAAGAAAACATGACAAATTCCTAGAGAAAAAAGCCTACACTTTTGTTTTTAATTCAGTTGTGAATCAATGAATTATTAATCTTTTGTTATTAACCCACATTGATATTTGCCAACTACATTCACTATCATTCGATTATATAAAAGATCATCATGGATTTGCATTTGTACATGTTTTAAATATTATTCTTGTTGGTTATATCATGAATATTTTTTTCTTCATCCTTATTTTCATAATAAAACATTTTAGTGAAGCAACTATTCAAGATTTATCTGGTTCATATGATTTTGAAAATTGTGCATGTACTGTTCTAAGATGTTTAGAAAAATCTTCTTATCGATTTAATCAATCTCAATATGGAGATTTTACAATATATTATAAATTCAATATTGAAGCAGCATATGGAAAAACAATATCAATTAATAATGGACAACAAACACAAATATTTATGAAATGGTTACCCGGAATGGATTTTGATACGACTTGTACTGGCACATGGATACCAACAAGACGATTAATTGAATTGAAATGTGGTGATCAATATCGATATTGTACGGGACAATTTAAATGTCGTAATAATAGTGGTCCATGTGCTAAAAATAGTTCAACATCACTCGTTATTCAATATATCAATACTTTATCGAAAATAATCATTTCTCTACTATTATTATTGTTCATTGAACAAATTAATCATTAATTCTTTATTTTTTATAATCAAAGTTAATATATTCAAGAAATAAAAAATTCTATACTGTATCAATTTTTGTCTTTCACTCGAAAAAAAACCTATAAGAGATATTACCACAATTGATAAAGAGTGGCAAACTAATATCTTGATTGTATTTTTCTCATTGAACATAAGTGAAGATAAAAAGAAAAGAAATAGAAAAATACATCAATGATGAATATTTCTGAAAAAAAAGATTTTGTTCTCATCCATTGATACATTGATTTAATCGATCTGCATCTATATCTATGAGTCAAATTTCGATACCGATGTATCTCAAATTAAAAATAAGAATTAAATTATTCAATATTGAAAATCAAATGCATTCATATTTTTTACGCATATTACTTGACATTCAAACTTATTTTATTTGATTAGACTTAGCTTCAATAGATTCGTGAAACGAATATTCATTTTTGACATTTATATTTTATTAGAACAAATTTCGGGTGAAGCCATGAGATAAGTATCAAATATCTGAATGTAGTCGTACGAAAGAAGTCCTCCAACTGTTCAATCACCTTTTGAGTTGAGACTACGTGCATTATGTAGAACCAAATTAGTTATCAATATCTTAAAAAGAAATTTTTGTCTTTAGCTTATTGCTACGGATATATTGCATTTTTATGCTAGTTTTGTGAAACACGATCCGAAAGGAGTGTTGAAGTGTGTAGGGGTAGAAATTTGGACCCCCCCCCTCACAGACCGTGACAGAGAAATTCCATACCCATCACGGACCGTGACAGAGAACCTCCGGACGCATCACAGACCGTGACAGAGAAACTTCAGTACCCATCTCAGACCGTGTCAGAGCACCTCTGGACCCATCACAGACCGTGACAGAGAACCTCTGGACCCATCACAGACCGTGACAGAGAAACCCCAATACCCATCACAGATCGTGACAGAGAAAC